CCTTGAGACATCTTCATCAGTGACTAAGGATGGGTTCCCCCACCCATCTCTAGCAGTGACTAAGGATAGGTTCCCCCACCCATCTCTGGATGAAACAAGAAGGGGTTCGGTGGGACTTTCCCTTTAAATTAGAAGAGCTGAATATTACACTTTGAGCCTTGATCAGAAAACTTTGTCTTGGCTTCATGTTTCTCTTGCCTTTCCATCCCTTTTTTCACTCCCAGCCCCCCTTTCAGGTGAATTCAGTTGGTCCATGGCTGCAGGCAGCTACATAAGAGCCTTAAGATCAGGGTATAAAGGCAGCTTATCTGAGCAGGTGCAGTGTTAGCAAAGGGTTCTTTGTAAGAGGGAAACTGATGGGTAGAAGTCAGAAAGAATATGTAAGGACAGAAGTAGAGGTCAGATGTTTTATTTATGAGTTTTGAAGACAAAGAGGGGGCCTGTGTCTCAAGTAATGTAGGTGGAGGCTAGAAGCTGGAAAAGGCAAGGGGAGACGATTCTCCTCCAGAGACTCCAGCAAAAGCAAAACAAGCTTCACAAAATCTATGAAGAATTATTTGGGACAGCTGCAAGATAATACATGTCTCCATTATTTTCACTTACTAAATCTGTTATATCTGCAATGAGAGATGAACACATGCTCCATGGCTCCAAGGGATAAGGAGAGACAGGGGTGTTACACAGACTTCTCTGTTGGCTGTAGTCAGGAGGGCCATGGAGACAGAAGCTACCAAACCCATCAGCCTCCATGATCATTTCAATCAATGCCTCAGAATAGCAGATTTGCCATTTCTCTCAAAATACTTATTCTTTACTGCAGAGTGATAACTCACTGATACCAGACATTTCCAAATGATGCAATGAAAAGATATATCAAAAGCTTACGAATATGAGGAGGTGTATGAACTCTACATGTAGCGTACAGATAAGAGAACATTAGAGAGGGTGAGTTAAGTGTGAGTTTCCCATGACTCTGTCCTAGGGCGTCACCAAAACTTTCTGTCATGTTTTCTTTGATTTATGGTCTCACTCATTCTCTGGAGCCAGAAACCTGCCAGTATCTCCCCTGCTGCTGTTCTTATGCACCCATTACCAAATAATAATAACCAGCACACTATACGTTGTCTGCATCAATTAAATTAGGTCTTCCCATAATTCTATGATGCTGATAATCCTAGCTCCATGTCTACCTTGAAAAGGAGTGTTCAGAAAACTAAATTGCTCTTGTTGTACAGATAGGAAGAAAGGTGGACAAGCTATACCCAGTCAGTATATTTAACACTGTGTTTGAATGCTTTTTCTAGATCACATGGACCTTGTCATTCCCTGTTCCTCTGTTTATGATGGGGGCCAGGTATCATGTAAAGAGGAGAAAGCCAGCTGAGCTTCAGTGTTCCTCTTTCACTGTGCCTTGACTATGTATACAGTATACCCAGCTGCCTGACACTCCACTATGCCTTCCCTACCCCAGTGGACTGCCTCTTATGAACTATGCCTTAGACAGGCACCTGCACATCCTTTGAGAGTATGATCTGCCTATGGTCTGTCGTTTCTCAAGCCCAATCTCAAATCAGTCTGTGAGTCCCATGCTTCGATTCCTCATCCAACAGAAATTACACATTTAAAACCAAGTGCTTTCTTACTTTAAACTTGTCACTTTGGGTGTTGCTGAAGATAGCATACATAGTCGAGTACCTTGGTCACAACAACTTATCTTCAGGTGAAAGCTTAAGCTAGAGTGCACTGTATCAAAGATGGACCCAGGTTGTCTCAGACTGCAGCGGGAATGTGGAAATTAGCCTCTATCCTTGTGGTGGTCTGATGATTCAAGAAGAAGCCCTGGTGAGTTCTGTTGTGTAGACTTGGATATAGGAAATGTTAATGAAATTGAGGTACCTACACTAGTTATCTAAGAGAATCAATCACCAGGGCCTGAGGGTAATGACTGATATTCTTTGTTGCTAAGAATCGTGGAGGTGGACACAATTCCCAACAGTGGCCCGTTGCTTAGTGTTTCTCAGTTCTAAGCTCCTCACTTGCACCTCCTTCATTTCCTTCTCCTGGATGACGTCTTTCATCTTTCTTGCTTGCTTTAGAATCCCCACGTGCTACAACCTTCAGAACTTCTTTTGATCAAGTACTTACGAAATACACTAAAACTAGCCATACTGTGCATGGCTTCCCAAAAGAAGTTTTGATAATGGTTCTCAACCTTCCTAATGCTGCAACTCTTTAATACAGTTCCTCCTGTTATGGGGACTCAACCATAAAATTATTTTGTTGTTACTTCATAACTGCAACTTTGCTATTGTTATGAATCATAATGTAAATATCTGATATGCAGGATATCTGATATGTGACTTCCAAAGGGACTACGACCCACAAATTTAGAACAGCTTGTCCAGGAGAGCAATATTTCTCTAAGGGTACTCTTCACACCTTGACAGGGTCACACCTATGTTTATAGTATAGTATTGCTGTGACTTGGTTTTGTTTATTTATATACTTGTTCAGGTTTCACTATGTGGACATTAACACTGACAGAATGATCCAGCCATGTCACAAAGCAAGGAGAGCCAGCCTGAAACATGTACAGAAAAACAAAAGCCATTTTCCACTTAAGAATGTCCTTGATTGAAGCTGCAGAGATGTCCCTTGAGTTATGACCACTTGTTGCTCTTGGAGAGGACCTGGGTTCGGTTTCCAGGTCCCACAAGATGGTTCACTAGCATCTGTAACCTCATTTCCAGGGAATCTGATGCCCTCTTGTGACCTGGAGGGCAGCAGGCATGCATATGATGCATGGTCACATGCAGATGAAAACCGATGCACATAAAATAAGTAATCCTAAAAACAAAAGAATGTCCTTGATAGGCCAGTAAAAGTCTCTGTGGTTGTAGTGTGACACTTAGCTGCAGAGTTTTTAAAACTATATCCCGTGGGCAGAGTGGGATGTGTGCATTTGAACCTTTCTGCTACAGAGTGAGGTGGTAGTCTTGCAGAAGTGCTGATGTCTGGGTTGTAAGCTGACCATATGACAGGTAAACTTGGCTATTCTGGAAAATGAACAAGACGTGTTTATCAATTTAAGAACAACTGTTGGCATTTGTGGCTAATGATACAACTCAAGTTCTCAAGGGAAAACAAACCATAGCTTTGAGAAACTTCTGCCACAATGATGTACTTATCCAAATACTAAAGATTTTCATGATTAAATAAAAAGTGGCATAGACAATTTAGACTCTTGCTATTGAGACATGCCATGGGTCAGCACTGGAAGCTCTGTGGAGCCTAGTGAATCAATACTTTCTGAATGACCGATGCTGTGTGTTCAAAATTGTCCCTGGATAAGAGATTCGTTAAAGGAATAAGAGGAACAGTGGATCTCATTGTAGCACAGCGAGAAAGCACCATTATCTCAGAAACAGGTCACTAGTGACACATGACCCCCGTGGAAGTGTCATTTACATTAAAGAACTAGGCTGAGACAAATGCCCAACAAAAGTGTCACTTAAAAAGGTTAGAGACAGCCCAAGGTTTATAGGTGTTATAAGGGACAGCACCTCACCTTTGAAGCTGTATCAGATACTTCGAGCATGTATACTGTGAACATGTACCAGAATTTATAAGAGCTAATATTTCTTCCCAAAAGACATTATTCTGATTCAAAATATTGAAAAATCTTTAAAATCAATTTTAAAAAGCATACATTTCTTCTTGTTGTGTGGTACGTGTCTTTAATCCTAGCGCTCAGGAGGAGAGAGGCAGAGAGCAGAGAAGCAGAGAGAGGCAGAGAGAGGGGACAGAGGCAGGTACAGGGGCAGAGGCAGAGGCCAGAGGATCTCTGAGTCTGAGGTCAGCCTGGTCCATATAACAAGCTCCAGGCCAGCCTAGTTTACATACAGAGAACTTATTTCAAACAAATAAACAAACAAAACCAAATATCACAGCAAAACAGTAACAACAAAAATATTTATTTGCCCGTGTGTGTGTGTGTGTGTGTGTGTGTCCGTCCGTCCGTCCGTCCGTCCGTCTGTCTGTCTGTGTGTGTGTGCTAGAGGATGAGGATGAGGGTGAGGATGAGGGCAAGGGTGAGGATGAGGATTCTTCCTCAAATTCAGGTCCCCAAGATTTGCTGCAAACACCTTCACCCGGTGAGCCATCTCACTGACCCTCAACATAAGGATTTCTTAAGCAGTGAAAATTAACAGCTCTCTCCTGGCTGTTCGGTTGTCCCCACCCTGGGAAGCCTGCTTGCAGTTCTGCACCCCTTTACCCATCCCTTTCTTCCTGCCTCCCCGACCCCTCCCTTTTCCTACTTTTTTCCTATCTTACAGGAGTCTATAGGCGTATTGGAGGCTCATTAAAAATCTGCTCCATTTAAAGTCACTTTTAAGATGAAGATAGAAGGACTTGGGAGGGAGTTCTAGAATTTCCCCCAAGTCTTCCCAAGCCCCGGAGGCTATATTTGGAGGCAAAACTGAGGCCAAACCTCACGATCCTCATCTAAAATTTTGAGAGTGGTTTACAGGAAGGGCCTTCGGAGTTCACTAGAGCTAACTTTTTAAATCTTACAGAGGAAACTGAGGCCCAGAGATGCAAAGGATGGGAGCCAGCAGAGAGGGCCAGGAACCAACCACTGGACCCAACCCACAGCCTCCACCTCAGAGGGCCCTGATGGGGAGGGAGGAGGCGGGTTGGTGAGAGTGAGGAAGAGGGGGAGGGCGAAGGAAAGGAAGGAGGGCTGAAGTGGGAGTGAGAGAGGCACCCTGCTAGAGGCTGATTGGCTCCGGAGGCCAGCCCTCTCCATGAGGTTTATAAGAGTTAGGGCTGTCTGGGGTACCCTGCCATCTCTCTCGCGTCCCGGGGAGCCACTACCAGAACCTCTGTGAACCGGTCGGGGCGGGGGCCGCCTGGCCGGTTGTCTGCTCGGCGGTGGGAGGCTGAGGAAGGGAGAGAGCGATCGCGGAGCAGGGCGCCCGAACTTCGGGCGCCGCGCCATGCGCCGGGCCAGCAGAGACTACGGCAAGTACCTGCGCGGCTCGGAGGAGATGGGCGGCTGCCCTGGCACCCCGCATGAGGGTCCGCTGCATCCTGCGCCTTCTGCACCGGCTCCGCCGCCGCCCCCCGCGGCCTCTCGCTCCATGTTCCTGGCCCTCCTGGGGCTGGGACTGGGCCAGGTGGTCTGCAGCATCGCTCTGTTCTTGTACTTCCGAGCGCAGGTGAGTGGCTGATTTCCCTGCCCGATTCTCTGCCGGGAGAAACTGAGTCTGGCCCTAGGGCTGGGCTCTTAGGATCTCGCTTATTCTGGAAGGGAAAGAGATTCTCCAAGGAAGGGAACTTGGGGCCACCAGCCGCGCTCATCTGCGCCTTCTCCCCTCAGCGCAGAGTGCAGAAGCTGAGCTCCTCTGGTTCTGGCTGAGGATGGGTTTGAATTTCCCCCCCAGATACAGCATTGGCCACTCCCCTCTTGTACCTCAAGTGATCGCGCGCTTTTTCCTTACCTTGAATTTCTCACCTGGAGCTAAGAACCAACTTTTAACTCATTTACGGAAAGTAGGGAAAGTGAGAACTTTTACTTGGGCATCTAAGCTTCCCAATGTCACTAACTAACTTGTGGCTGCCTTGCTTTCCTTGCACTCTGGGACCACAAAGAGAGGGTGTCAGTAGTCTTAGGGACAACTAGGGATGATTCCCAGAGTGGCCCGCTGTCGGTCTCCTTGCTGGGGCTCTGTTGCTCCTCTGGAACTCAGGTTCTGAAGGGTGAAGGGACAGCCCCACTGTGCCTGCCTATGAGGTGGGTGGAGGAAGGAAGGTGCCCGTGTGTGTGTGTGTGTGTGTGTGTGTGTGTGTGTGTGTGTGTGTGTG